GGAGTTGAAACCCAGTACTAAAAATGGCAATAAAGATATTGGCTAAATATATGAGAATGTATCCGGTTAACGGTCTGATGTTGGAAGAAGACATGGCAACCATGTCAGAGGACGTTATGCGGAGTACGCTTCTCTAACCTGCCCAGAGAATATGGCAAAGTTTGGAAAACGAGCTCTAATCACATGTTACATGCGATTTTATATCTGCTCAGATTGACTCAGCACGGGTTTTCAAGCAAATTCACCAGGCCGAAACTTCTGAGCTCGCCCGATTTCAATCCTTCAATCTTGCGAGAACTCGACAATCGCCTTAGCAAACTTCAACAAGATCGCCTTATTCCAACAGCCATTATGCTTGGGACTCCACCTAGTGATCACGCGGTGCATAGCCTAAACGACTCCTGGCTTGGACCTCTAGAGGGTGGATCTCGTGTCTACACTGGGCGTGGCAACACAGACACTACGACAACGGCAAATATCACAATCGATAGACTAAAAAATGTCGGAAGGGACGCTAATTTTCAGTCTCACTATTTTATACCATCTCAAGCGGTTTTTAATTTCGAGGGCTCGAGACAATCTCATGCCAACAGTGAGATAAGAAGTTTCTGGTCAGACCCAGTTGAGCTGCGCCAAAATCATCGGGGCGTTCTGGTTGACCGATTTTCCACTCCACTCCAAGCCTATCCACCTCATTCACCAGCCTCGCCTACGCTTGAGCCCCGATTTTCAGCAAGATTCAGTCCTCTTCAGAGCCGCCGCAGTATGCTGCCTTCACCGGCACCAGAACCTTCAAGCCCAGCTGAATCTTTTGTGAAACTTTTGCCGACATCTGGCTCTGTTTTCAAAGCACATCCACAATCGGGTCTGTGGAGGAGGCAACCTGGGGGTGGTTGGAGACTTGAAGAGGACTGGCATGGTTATGACAAAAGCCCAACAACTTTTGAGTGGAGGCGACAGGCAGTCCACCAGAGGCCATTATGCCGACACAGAGGCTTTCCAAGACAGCACCTTGGCCTTCAACGAGCCCCTGTCCCACACATTCTCATGCCTTCTTGCACTACCCAAACGTGTGACACCTTTTGTAATCGTTCAGTATTGCCTACACTTGAGTTCGACTTCGATTCGACCCGACGCACGAGGCAGTATCCATCATGTGGTGCTCACTTCAGGACAAAGCTTTAGCGTGGTGTGACGAAAATAACTGTCAAACACAGGCTTCCAGTTGGTTCCCCCTAGTCTGACCCCAAACCTCTCTTGCCTACTGACTTTATCTCAGACTGCACTGTCCATCGCTATGTGCCTTTTATCATGTCCGATTATCAAAGTAACCCGGGCGAATGCATTCACGGTACCATACAAGCATTTGTATCTGTATTATTACATATAAAAATTATATAATTCAACCTTCTAGCGAGGAAATAAGCAATTGGTAGCAGAAATACTCTAAATTGGGTATCCAAACCAAAATAAAATACTGCATCAGGACAGCTTTACTATAATTGTCTCGCAGATACAACATGAAAACACTTTGCCAAAAAGCCTGACGAAACTGGATACAGAAATTTTATAGGTACTTGTATATCAAAACATTTTACCGAATGATTCGGACCAGTAATTTATGAAGGCACACTTACGTAATCTAGGATGATTTTTTCACTTCACGCGAACATTAAACTCAGTTATATTCATGGCATATCAGGAAATTTTAAATCAAATAACTTAGCC